AATTATAGAGATTCCACTTTATTTATGTTTATTTTAATATCCTAGGGTCTGCAGTTAGGGGCGACAGAAGCATCAAGGTATTGGCTATATTGGGTCCCCGCTCAGTATGTTGAAGCTATCAAGGATGCAGTACTCGGTGTTTGGCAATTTTTCTAATCAAATTGAATTGAACTTACTGCCCAATTGTTCTCCGACTTTCTATGAATACTACTTGGGTAGTTGCAATATTATAGAAATTTTATGAAGCCTTAGCATGCAAACTTTATTTTTTTTATAATGAAATTTGACGTCAGTGATTTTTTTAAAATTTTGTTAAGCTAAGGTTTCTTTTATTTAACAGGTATATGAGCATTCGATTTTTTTTAAAGTATTGCTTATACACTATGTTTATTGTTTTGTGATATTTTGCCATGTCAAAGTCCACTAAAATACTGGCATCTGATTTGATCAAATAAATTATATATATTTTTTGCTATTGTAAAATTGCATTCATATGCATATTTGTGTTTGGGAGCTGTACAATTTTGCCTGATAATAATAATTCTTATTGGAAACTTATTACCATAATATCAGTAAGTGTTTGTAACAACTCATGAGGTTAGTCTCTCCAGAGTTTCAAACCTGATCTCTATGTAAACTTTTAAAGTATTTGGTCTTTTAAATAAAGAATTTAGTTGGAAGAACACAAAGTTGACTTTATGTATTTGTGGCGGATGTTCTTCAACTTGGTTCTTCTAACTATGTCTTTATTAACTGATATTGATCATAGAAATAGATAAAAAATTATTAAAACTATGTTTTTATTAAAACCCATCCTTTATCAGTAAATCCTTTATTGAATACAAAAATAAAGTTGTATAAAGTAAATAGTAGTCACACTACAAAAATGCCACATTATAATTAAACTTACAATAAATAATTGTATAGAAAAATACTAAATTATTTGGCATTTAGATATGTTTACAGTATAATACTTTGTACTCTTAAAAGCTAAGCATATTCAGACTGCAGTGTGACAGAAAACTGCCCCTTTGGTATACTTGTTGCATGATACCACACTCTTGTGTCCAATAATACTGAAAATATATCAAACAATTACATTTCAAGCTCCTATGTAAACTATAGTGTCACAATTTTTTAATTTATACCTCGTTTTATTCTATTTTTGACCGACTTCCCAAAAGAAGGAGGTACTCAATTCATCAGTATGTTTTTTTTTAATTTAAACTTGTTATCATTCAGTTGAAAATTTTTGGTGTAAATTCAAAGTAACCTTAGAAGAAAAGTTTGAAGTGTAATCATATATTAATAGGCATTTTAAACTTACAATCATCTACATAAGAGCCATTAGATTTTTTTTTAATTATTTAATATTTTATGTAAAATAAGTTTAAATATTTAAAAAATTAATTGTATTGACATTGTTTAAAACTACTATATATTATATTCTTACCAATATCACCTGGCTCAACATAATATTGAAATTTGTGACAAATATGTTCACATTCTGGCACAGGGGCTATTGTCCAGTTTTTACTGCCCTTTATCTGTCCTTGCCACATCAGACGAGGTATGTAATCCAACTGAAAATACCACAGTACAAAAATGAAAATAAAATCATAGCTTCCTATAACATTTCAAAGAATCTTGATGTTTACATGCATCACTGCCCCAATCTCATAACCAAAAAATATGTTTTCAGTCTCGGGAAACTCTGCATCATCAGGTAAGAATTCCGGTATCTCATAGTATTGCCTTATTTTTGATCTGATATCAGGATGACAATTTGCCCTGGAAATTAATGAAAATTGCATAAAAATGTTTTTTATGCATAAAATACTTCTATGTGTTACTCTTTACACTTACCATCCAACATACCAAGGTTTCTGACCAGGTTCATTCTTTATTCTTTCCTTAGGCATATTGAAGACTTCTTTTAGAGAAAAAAGGTCAGATTTAAAATTAAGGAATTGACAACCTTCATCAAATAATTCATAACTTCCAATTGTGTGTTCATAAAGTCTTTTAAACAGATAATAATTGAAGTCTTTTACTGCTCTCCAGTGATTAATAATTTTTTTTATTACAATTGGTTTCGACGTGTAAGCATATTTCTGAAATGGATTCCAATAAGAATTAAAACAGATTTTTTCCTTTCACTCAGATAAATCTTGTACAAATGATGAACTATTACTTTGAAGTCGTGACGAGTAACATTCTGTAGTATAATAGGTTTCGTAATATTCACACAATAGTCGCAATCGGCGAGAGGACGCGTCGCTTCCCACACCAAGTAATTTAGAGGTACTAAACATCTAGCCGTCAATATATTGTGCACTATACTACTTACAACCACTGTTAAAATTGAGATTATTATTAGCGAAATTATTATCCTTTTACGCTTTCTTTTGATTGTATTTACTTCTGTAAAGTTACACATATAATCAATTTGCTTCAGTGTAGATGATTGTAACCCCCTTCGCAATCCACTCAGTTGTAAGTTTTTTAACCGCTTTTTTACGTAATAAACGTATGGATTCGACTTTTTCATTATGTCATTTCGCAAGAGATTAAATATTAAATTGTTTTATAATTTTATAAATAACATTTCCAAATCAAACAAATTAATTTGAAAGTTTGACACATTGATCATTGTTTATGATTGTCAAATGTCAAAGCAAGAGTTTGCCACTTTTGTGATTTCACATTGAAAAAATCGTAAATGTTTTTGATTTTTTGTTAACACATAAGCATGGATGTACTACCAGAACATGTTCATGAACATGATGGATGTTCTAGTAATACTTCCATGCACATAGGCTATTATGGATTATGGTAGTCATGTTTGAAAGAACTTTAGATTTTGTGCGAAAATTATATACAAGAACATTCAGGACAGTTATAAAAAAAGACTTCGTTGTGTCTATGGTTTGTTTGACCTGACGCTAGCTGTCATGTCAATCAAGTCAACGAACTGATGAACTTGGCGGTTTTAGGATTAATTCGATTAAAACAAAAAAATGCCTCCTAAAAAGCGCGATAAAGACAGTGAAACAAACAAAAACTCTAAAATAGATCACTTACAAGCTGATCATGAACTGTTTTTACAAGCCTTTGAAAGTAAGTTCAGCAACAGTAGCTATTGATATGCAAGCGTTCATGTTTGGTTAATTTCTGTATTATCATAACTATTTGAATATTATGTCTTTTCAGAGCCTACACAAATTTACAGATTCTTACGTACCCGTAATATGTTATCGGTATGTTTAACTTTACGTTTTTATGGAAAATGTTAGCTAAACTAACGCATTTACTACATAATATCCTCTCACTTTTCTTACAGCCAATATTTCTTAATAGAACGTTATCATATATGAAACGAAGAATGTCGAGAAGTAATAAAAGTAGGAACGGCTTCAAGGTAGATTCATTATTAGAGAAGATAACATTAAAAAAGAGTATCGAGATTCAGCCAAACAGTTTGGGCGGGTACATGACGCTCACATTTCTAGGATTTTACGATAAAAGTTTAGATGATCCCAGAGATTATCAAGTGAAAGTCGAAACATTACTATTAAAAATTTGCCACAAGAAAAGAAAAGAAAGTTCATCAGCCATTATTGAAGTATCTGTAAGTATTTGTCATTTATTAATATTCTTTTTCTCTTGAAATAAATTGTTTAAAATATGTAACTTGATTACTAAAATGTTAATAATTAAAAAAGACTAACTCATAAAAATTTTAATTAAATGCAAAGGTACATACATACATAATTTCAATTAAATCAAATATTAACTCAAAGAGATAGGAATGAATAATGGTAAATTTTGACCAAGCTGAAAAGAGCAAGTTTAGTCCAGTAAATCTTGTACTATAACTATACAATCATCCTTTCAGGTTGGTAGTTGCTCAATCCCATTAAATCCGTCTACATCAGAACCTCCCTCTATGGCCTCCGCAGTCAGTATAGCAAGTGACACATTCAGTCCCTCTCAGGGACCTAATGTAAAATCATATATGCTGATGCTGAGGGTTACTGTGACGAAAGCTGTATGCAATACAACCACAAGCAACGCAACTAGTTCTACTGAAATTACCAATGGTGATAGTGAAGGTAAATTTGTCTACGTACTATTCATTAATGAAAAAATACACACAAAAAAAAACAAAAGTCATCATCTTTGAATATATAAAATCAAGAGAATTAAAAATTGAATCGCATTGTAGTAAACGGAATTTAAATTAGTACTCTGAATACAGAGTAAAATATTATTTTTTTATTATTATGGGCGACACACTAGCAGCTAGTTAGCTGAAGCATGTATATAGTAAACTTTTTAAAATTTCAGAACCTTTAACTAAACGCATAAAATCCGCATCGGATCATTTCAATTCTACAACGGAGAACAAATGGTGTAAATACTATGGCAGTGAGTTGATTGTCTATGACAAGCATAACCGCTGTTTACTTACGAATGGAGAGTATGACTTGGTACTCCATGATGCGACTCCCGGCAGTAGAAGTGCTACCATCGCTCGATCACCTCACAAAGCTTTGATGGCTCAGTGGGAGACTATACCTAATGTAAGTATATAACAAATTAAGTTTAAAAAAACAACCTGGCTCTACTATGTGATGTTTTAGCACAAAAAAGATATAGTGACACTATACTTAACAAAGTTGAACATTTTGTTATAAGTTTTTGTGATAAAATAATATTTTCTACTATACTATGTTGACACTGCACCCCATATGAGTAAGATAAATGGGGGAATGAAACTGTATTTACTAAAAGAATAAAGTTTATGTCAAACTGTTTTTCATGTAATGCTTTGCTGTGTTAATGCTATGCTAGTCTTTCTGCTATGTCATAATACATGTTTTTTATTATGGTGAATCTAAAAATTCTATAATATGAAATTTATTCCCTTAAATGCACGATTTTTTCCTTTTAAATACCATAAATTGAAACGGGTAGTGAATTGAACATAGATTAAGGAAAAACAATTTTTTTTTTTTAAATAGTCTATTGCGTATAGAATAAAAGATTGATGTATAAATGCAACATCATGCATTTAAGGGTTAAAATTTGCGTTAAAAGATTCAAAAATCTGCTGTGATTTCTAATGCGTTTAAAATATGACAAAAAAATAAAAGTACCATGTCTTTTTTTAAGGAAAATGAAGTGCAATCAGAATTAAATCCATTTGATATATTCAAAGTAAGACCCCTATTGAAGCTCAAGTTGAGCTGGAGTCAAGAACCCACCAATGGTCTAGTGAACAGACCCAAACTGTACCAGCCGTCTGCTGAAACTAACGGTGTTAAGAAAGATACTATAAACAAAGATAGAATTCCCACACAGAAATGTCACACAAATGATGTTAAAAATGGTAAGTAATGTTCATTTATAGATTACAACTTGCCTGTGTCATCATCATCTCCTTATCCTACTCCCGTAGGGTCGGCGCACCGGGTTTTCGTCCTCCAAAGCTTTCTACACATGGCCCGCGTGTAATTTAGAAAAAAAAATAGTAAAAATATTGCCTATGTTACTCAATAACATAGCTTTTTAATGGTGCAAGAATTTTTTAAATCCATCTAGTAGTTTTCGAGTTATTACAATACATTCAAAAATACAAATCGTTCCTCTTTATAATATGAATATAGATTCAATCCCGGGTTAAACCAGAGGTTAATAAATGTAACTGGATGTATGCAGGAGAGAAGTCTAAAGGTGAATCGAGCGAAGGGGAGGGCAAGCGGCAGCAGATCATCTACCAGTTCCTGTACAACAACAACTCGCGCCAGCAGACGGAGGCGTGCGACGACCTGCACTGCCCCTGGTGCTCGCTGGACTGCGGCGCGCTCTACTCGCTGCTCAAACACCTCAAGCTCTGCCATTCCAGATTCAATTTCACATATTTTGTAAGTATTACAACAACCTTTGCACTATTTCTAGATTTATTCCATAAACCGTTTACCTAGACTTAGGCTGCACTGAATCAAAAGATATTTCGTAAGTTTATGTGTTCTTTCAGATTTTTTTTAGCCCCTCTGAGTTACCTAAAAACAAACATCCATCCATTCAAATGTTCATTTTTCTAATATTAGTAAGTAAGATTTTTGTCAGATGACTTTGTCCTAAATGTAAGAACTTGAAATAATGATGTAATACAATTACAAAACCTCTTAATCTTTTAACCATATACATCGTAATTATACTATTGAATTCTACATATTGAATAATGTTTGCAATCATGGTCAGTCTTGAACAAAATATATTAATATTTACAACAGTGGTATACCACTACTATAGTAGTAGATTCCATTAGCATTTTTCTCACAAATGTGTTTGCAAGCAATACTATTACCACACTGAAGATAATGTATAAAAGCATGAACTGGAAGATATTCCTGTGAGTGTGAGTGTGAGTGTAAATGTCCTAATCCAATCTTCCCCTTCCCACATTTCCGCAGCCGATTCCCGGCGGCGCTCGTATAGATGTATCAATAAACGAGCTGTACGACGGCTCGTACACGGGGTCGCCTCACGACCTGATAGCGGCGCAGGGGCGGGGCGGCGCTGGGGGCGGCGGGGGCGGGCCGCGCGCCGGCCCCACGCGCCGCGCCTCGCTCACACACGTGCTGGTGTGCCGGCCGCGCCCGCGCCGCGCGCCCCGCCACAGCCTCGCAGAGTTCCTGGAGCTCGATGATGCGGATGCTGACTCGCAGAGACCATATCTCACAGGACATAACCGGTCAGTAGGACAGAAAGCCTTAAGTAATTTTTTTAATAGATTTTTTTAATGTACAGTAGATTCGACTTCGACTCGATAAGTTAAAGTCCAAGGGAAACACAAAGTATTTTAAGTGATAGAGGTTTTAAGTTATCAAGGGTCTGTGTTATATGAGATGTTATAGACGTTTTGGGCTCAGATGGGAAGGGAACATATTATTTTTTGAAGTTATAGAGGTTTTTAAGTTATCGAGGTTCTACTGTATATGTATATTTTCACACACCTGTAGTGATAGGCCTAGTGAATTGATTGTGTGAAAGATATTATGATCTGATAACTGAGATGAATGTAAATTAACCGGGAGAACAAAAACATAGTCCCAAGCATGAGTGTAGGATAAGAACAGGAAGGTGATGTTTCAGTCAATTTTTTAAATTAAGTGTACCTTTGTTGTTAATAAGTTACAATTTGGTATGCCTAGTTTAAATGAAAAAAATATACTGAAACGTATTTGTTTTTGCCGTTCGAATGAATGAAACGATACAGAGACAATTTATCTTCTTTTTTTATTTACATTAAATTATTCAAATTTGAAACTTACAAAACAATCAATATGGTGAAGCATATTTGTGATTATTCATCACTACGAGATTCGAAATAAAATTTTCTCCTTTCAGACTATACCATCACACAATAACCTGTCTACCGGTATATCCTAACGAATTGGATATCGACTCCGAGAGTGAAACAGACCCGNTGTGGCTGCAACAGAAAACTATGATGATGATTGACGAGTTCACTGACGTTAACGAAGGCGAGAAAGAACTCATGAAAATGTGGAACCTCCACGTTATGAAGTATAACTACGTAGGCGACTGCCAGATACCGCTCGCTTGCCAAATGTTCCTACAAATGAAAGGCAAAGAACTCCTAGAGAAGAATCTATACAGAAATTTCATACTTCACATGAGTTCTTTACATGACTTCGGACTACTGAGTCCGGTTGCTTTATACCAAACTATACAAAGGCTGAACCAAATGCTAGCGGATAACGCTGAAGCCAAAGAAAAGATGCGAGAATCTCTAAAAGCTCAAAGAGAACATTGGAATTTGATTGGAAAATATCAACAACCGGTTATAATAGAACAGAAACCGCAAACTGCTATAGCTAAATTAAACAATGTGGAGGCATCACCTTCCGTTAGAAGAAAAACATCGAATTTACAGAACGCTAATAGAATGGGCAGCGCTAGTAATTTTGCAAGTTCCACTCCCGGTCCGAGTGGAGAAACTAAACGGAAAATGTCCTCCGGCAGTATACAAAGTCGCAAACGTTCTTCTATATCAGAAAGAAAAAGTTCTGTATAGCGAATATTGAAGAAATAATAATAGTGTAATTATTGATGGAATTTACCTACAACTGTTTGTTAAACCTTGTGTGTTTCTGGAATGTTCTATATGGGACAATTATTTACTTACATGTGTTTATATAACAGTGAATACGAACTATCATAGAACTTTCAAATAAACGCGGTATAAAGTTAAACTTGGAATAAACTAAGTGTAAGCTAAATTTGTACTAAGTTTAAGTTTATACTGCATTTATTTGTAAGGCTGTAAGAGATAGCAATAGCTGTCTCCGAATTGGATAAAAGAGCTTTTCATAAAAAAATCAAATAATTCAGATTTGATGCACATTTTCATAGAATCTCGTGTATTTGAGAGTGCAATTTACGTGAATTTGTAGATGAAATTTTTGAATGCAAACAGTGTTGTATTTGTTTCTAAGTTGTTGTATGTGTTTAGAACAAGTTATATTCAATTGATAACAGTTTAGGTACATTGAATTTGCGAAATTATGAAATTGTCATACATTATGCTCAGGGGTATGTTATCTACCTCTGGCTACCCCATTAGTGATAAAGTCGCGAGAGGTTTTCCTTTATAATTCAAAGTATAGTTAGACAAGTGGTGACATTTAGTAAAAAAAACGGTTTCAAATACTGTCTTAAATTAAGTGTGCTTTTCGAATTCTGTCGCATCTCAAATTTCTCATTACATTGCGTTTGCAACCAAGTAAATTTTAACAGACTTCAAAAAGGATAAGGTTATAAATTCGGCAATATTTTTTTTTCGTTACTTAAAAACTTAGTTCCTGGTTGTTCGATTTTCAGTAATCTTTTTTTGTTCAAAAGATACCTTTTTGCATGTCGTTTTATTATTTTTTTTTTAACTATACTTGTTATTTCGTTCACGACGAGGACAGCGCTGCGTCGTCTCTTGCCTGATGGTTTTGCTATACATATATATTTTTTTGTTTTGAAACTAAATTTTATCTCTGACATTCAATTATGAAAGCTTAAAACCAATAAGTTTTTATTATATACAGACAAATATGCCAGAGACTTTTTTATATTTCGAAATTAAGTAATTCAATAAATACGACATCGGAATAATATTGTTATACAAAGAAAACATTTCGCTATTAATATCGAATACAAATCAATCAATAGTCCTTCGATTAAAGAAAGCAATAAATTTGTCCATAGATATTTTGGAAGTTATAAATGTAACAATAAATTAGTAAAAACTTAGAACCTCGGTGCAGGGTTGCATTTTTAAGGTTTATACAATAATTTCAATAGATTTAAAACAATAAAATAAAATGTTGACGACCCCTGTCTTAAATCTTAGTATTTCTCTTTAAAAGCTAATAATGTTTGTTAGTAATCAATTATTATTAATTTAATTTTATACATTTTAATTATACGACTGGGCTATGCATAATTTTAATTTTAGGGATTATTCCCGACCGTCACCTCGCTCTGTTTCCACGTGGCGACAGGTGAGTATAAAACGTTTCATCCGTCCCACCTTTTAGTCACTATTACCAATAAGGTGACAAATTGGTCCGTTAAGAAATAAAATAATTTTCAACAGTCCCCTCGTTGCAAATGGTGGGACGGATGAAACTTTTCCTGTTCATGTGGGGACAGTGCGGGGGTGACGGTTGGGAATAATCCATTTTTAGTAAGCATACATTGAAATATTTAAATTCGCACTGCTTGGTAAGATCTCGAAAGTTCCGGAAGTTTCGACTTAATATGGCTAGAATACCTATGATATTTGTTAATGTGAGCGAAAGTAATTTATGTTTAGTTTGTAACTAAGTAGATATCGAACTTTATTCAAACTAATACTGAATTCTTGGTATAGTTGAAAATATTGTACATGTTTCAAAACAATAGAATATAAGTAATTGGTTAAATTTAAATAGGTTATTTCGCATATGTTTGGTTATTATCATGTCTAGATATAATTAAAACAAATTGGTCTAAAATCGAAATCAAAGCATATGAAGCTTGTTTATTTCTTTGTATTGCGTTTTCATAGTCCAGGGGTAAATAAATTCCGGTGAGGTAGGTCGAAAAAAGTATAAGTGAGGAACCATTATATTGAAATTAAGTTTTACTGCATGGAAATATTTCTAATTAAAAGAAAATGTTGTTTTAATGATTTAAAATATATATATCTGATTTACTCGACATGTTACGTACCCCTGGATTTTTCCTATTAATGTTTATTATGAACATTTTAATCCATTATAACATAATGAAATCAATACTGTTGTTTGTCTTTGTAGAAAGAGATCATTTGTTTGTGTTTTAGGTCTTCTAATAAAAAAAAACTTTTAATAAATTCGTCGTAATGCATCATAAATTATAGACCAAAAAGTAACAAAAATGCAAATAACACTGCCATTGAAAAGACTGTAAATCCGGTTGCCTTAAACATTCAATTCAATATATTTTGAAGTTAATATAGACAAGATTCATGTAGTTAGATAAACTTATTACTCTGTGGTAACTTCGACCAATTGGGATGTCGCCAACATTTGGATGTTGGTGTTGCCAGTTTAAAGAGTTTTTGACATAGTTTGAGCAAAAATAAATAATAGTAAGATTGTACAAATAAATATTGCGTCTTACCGTAGCATATTTTATACTTTTGCATGTATGTATTACCGAAATATACGTTCAAAATTGAGAAAACAAATAAATAGAATTCAAATAATAGTACTATATTAATTTTTTTATTTGTTATAAATGTAAAATGTTTATTTTCGGCGCCAATATTTCATTTGTCACAACTGTATTGAGTTTTATTTCTACAACTTAATAGCAAGATTAGATTGTTACAAGCTTCTGGTAGAATAATTTTTACATAGTTCAATGTTTTATGTAAGTTATATTTGCTTTTTGTATATTGTGTGATATGTATTTCAAACGAACAACGGTTATTTTAAATTGTTTTATTTTTATATTATACTGTTCTCATGTATAATATTTAATAACGTCTTGTACTTATGAAATGGAATATAACAGTTATTTTCAATAATCTTTATGGGTTTTATTTGCCATTAAATAATTTTCTCATATAATATTCAGAATAATAATTGTTTTCAAACGGAGAGAGTTTGTTTAAGCTGGTAACATTTTCTTGGGTGGATATGGGATGGATGGATGCTCGTATCTATGTATCTCCAACACGGCTTAACGGATCTGGATGAAATAGAACACTGGTATAGCTGCCTGGAATACCATATAGGCTAAGTATTAAGTCTTTGCGGACGAGTTCATGGGCAATAGTGAATCTTAATTATTTCTCTATGGTTCCTTACTTATAGAAAAAAAAGTTAATGATTATAACAAATGAAACGAGGTTTTATGACAAAAATGACACTGGGAATATTGAAATTGGAACTGCCAATGGCGAACGATGCAGAGAAAAATGCAAAGACATTTGACAAAGCTCACACATTGAAATTTATTGTTAAAATATGTCACATTCGAAGAATGCACATAAATTATCTGAAATAGAATCTATAGAAACATTTAGAAAAGGCAGAGCAGAGGATGAAGGTATGTTTCTTAGCATCTGAACATGAAAACGTCGTAAAAAAAGTAATAAACAATGTTATTTATTTATAGGTGAAATAATTGATAGTAATGCTGAAAATTGTATATACGCTGGTAAGTTTTACCCTTTTATTATTAGCTAAATATATAAATATGATACATAATATTCATTGAAAATTTTAGTAACCGTTTCTAAGAAATCATCGCTTACGGATGAGGACCCGACGTTGGATTTTGCACAGAAATCTTTTATAAGTATTCATTCTACGGATCAGTTATGCCAGATACCGAGCGCCAGAAGCCAATGTAGCCTCGAGGAATGCAACGTAGAAGTGATCAGTTTGAACGAAGTGTTCCCATCTACTTCGGAAGAAAGCTTCTCCAACGATGACGACCTACCTACGAAACGAGACCAAAAATACACTAAAACGAAACAATTGATTAATAAAATACACAAAGAGAATTCGAGATCATCTTATGTACCAACGAATAGTAAATCTACGACAGGTCCCGGTAGATTGAAAGATGGGATAGACGGAGCGCCGGTACGGTCAGATTTTGATATACCCAAAAACACCCTTCATGTCGTAGGCAGTAACCCTGGAGAGCCAAAAATGACATATCCGGATCCACCGAAAAAGATGTCTAAAACCGTAAGACTATAATTTGATTTATATTTTTATTATGACGGTATTAAAGTATTAACAAATGAGACAATCTAGTAGGCAAAGAAGCAAATATTTTGTAGAAGTTCTATAGATAGCAAATTAACTGTTTGTTGGTATAGATGAAGAAACTTCTACGTAACATCGACAAGCACAAGGTGGAGCAGAACAGCAAGAGCAACGAGAAGGCGATCAGTAAGCTAACTACGATGCGAGGCATCCTCAAGGACAACCGCTGCGACCTTGAGTGTACCGGCGACTCTACCGCGCACGACTCGGACGACTACAACGCAGGTTGATATGCTAGTTTCCATTGACGAAACACTTGTACAAAACATTTGCAAAGCAGTATGACTATATATTTTTTCTCTATAAGGTAGGTATAGATTACCATATTCAAGATTTTACTTGTCTATCGACCTATGAAACGATAAACGTATGTACATCTTTAAAATCAAATGAGGGTAGTCAGATAAAGTAGTTGGTTGTTTATAAACCTTGAAGTATTGCTTGTTCAGTTGGACAGTAGCGCTCGATAACTGGACTCGCATTCAATTGGCATAATTTCATTCAAGTGTGACCATTTAAAAATTTTGTCTTACGAGTAACGAAGACAATATTTTTACAGCCGGTGAAACTTTATCGTTAGATATGGATTTTGATTCACAAACCAACTATACGAAGCATTCGCCCGATAAAAATGTCTCGTTTAATACGCAAGTAGTCATCATCCATTTCACGGGCGACCTTTGCGTTGGTCAAAGTATCGAAACTCTGAGCAAAGAGAAGGACCAGCAGGCGAGGAATTCGGAACTAAAGAAAACCTTCCTCACCAAATACAACGAATTCTGGCCGACGCAGAAGTAAAATCAATAAAAAAGATTTTTTTAACGATATAGGTATAAATTTATTATTTGTTTTTAAATCAAAAATGTACTGTCACAGATGTTATTCGATATTTATTATTTTATACTGTTTTATTGTACAATGTTAAAATTATGAGAGTTGTGTCGTTATTTTATTTAATAAAAGTCAATGTTGCCTGAAGTTAATTTACGTGTTTTAATACATAAAAAAGAAATTGGTACAAATTAGATAAATACTTTGATGCTTTTCTAAAAAAAAAAACTCCATGTCTTTCAACAACGTTTATTAAACACGAAAACAATATCACAGACTAATTCACCTTTGAGGTTATCTTCCACAAAACTAGTTCTTTCACGCGTTCGTACGTGAAATATTTAGGAAAGTCGAGTGGCAGTTGTTCCACAGTCCACGTTGCGTGGACATTTTCTGATTTGACCTTGTGCAATAAAGTTAGGAATGTTTCGTAACACGGCGCTACGGAGTCCATATGTTCTATTGTAAACACGTATCTTTTCTCCATAACTATGTATAACATTTTAGGCGGATTTGTGTTCATTATACGCTGCACTGTTGATATAAATGCCGCTGTGACGTCATCGTCGTAGATCACTGGAATAAAACAATGCCACACTTAGTACTGTTGGACAGGACATAAACTGGACTGGAATTCAACTGGTTATGTAAAAACTAACTGGCGCCAGTGAAACTATTCACGCTTGAACTGCGCTACTGTCCAACAGTGTGAATTAAGCCTTACAGCCTAAAGAAAATTCGAGACGAAAGTTAATTTTGAATCAGACGGAAAGGGAAATAAAAACATATTTGATTTAATTAGCTTCAGTTTTAAACAATGCTACTGCTAAAATCTGTAACACACAACTGCCAAAGAAATGGTGCGAAATTTGAAAAGAAGCAAAGATGATCCCTCCACATACAAATTATCCATTTAAAAAGTCAAAATGCGTTATTTGAGTTTTAATTTTGAACCTAATATTTTAATTGCTAATATATGGTTCAGTATCATACCATCAGCTGCAATAACGATATCGACTTGTTTTATTTCCTGCATCAATTTTCTGCTCCATTCAATTTCTTTAAAGTCCAGCGGCATCACTTTAAATTGGGATTTTATTAGCTCATTGTTGTATTTAGCATTCAATTTTATAAGCTCCAATATACCACCTAAATCTATATCTGAAAATAAAAATAATACTTTTTATAAGCTTCATAAATGCTGATTACTGGAAAATTAGAAGGCACCTTTTGTTGGTGACCATAAGGGTTGGTTCACACTGGCAAAGAGCAGTTTTTTTATCGCAAATAAAAACTTGAACTTAAACAAACGTGAAAAGTAAAAATAAACCTTGGCTCAATTGTAAGAAGCTCAATTTTTTCGCGATATATAATCTCAGATCTAAAAAATCCTTAGTCATAATCAAAGTTTATTTAAAAAGGGGCTATAAATGTTTTAAAAAGTTATTAAAAAAATTAAGCTTATCTATAAACTTAATACAAAAGTAACATTTACCTGTACAAATAACTTTCTTTGCGTACAAAGCAGCAACAAAACTCGTAAATCCAGTACCAGCGCCTAGTTCCAGTACAGTTTTGCCCTTCAATTTCCCATTCAGTCCCAAATGTATCAATAAATCACCTAAAAGGAATGCTCCCCTCCATACTTGCAGACCTACTAGAGCTATTTTAGTCTTTGAACTATGTTCTAAAACAAACAAGGTTAAACTAAAGAAATAGATACTAAGGGCGAAACATGCATACAGTACAGTAAAAGCTTACATGTCAGTTACTGGAACAATACACACATGCTAGTAAAGTGAAACAGTAACTTGCATGCCAGTAATGGGGTGAGTGTAGTTTAGTACATCCCCTCATCCCCTTCCTCAACTTTCATCCATAGCTGTCATAACATCAAATGGGCTAGCTACAAGCCTGTTAATACCTGGCATGTACAGTTATGGAAATCGGTGGTGTGCTACTTCAGGAAAAGTTACCTTGTTCATTACGAGACAATCTCCGCCTCTTTTAACTAATAACTAATTATAGCAATGAGTGAAAAAAGGAATAATAAAAAAAACCAGCTGTGCATTAATAACCGATATTTTCGTACAGACATTTATAAGCTGTGTAATGATTAATGTTTGGTAGAACACCACTAGTTTTCCTGACTGTACTTGTAGCTTGCATGCAAGTATACCAGTTACTAACATGTGTTCCCGCCTTTAGACTTAGAACAGAATTAGAGAATTAACTACTAACTTAATCAGACTTACCAATTTTAACACTTGCTTTACAAGGTCTTTCAACGTCTAAGTCATCATCATCATCAAATGTACAGTTATTTTGACTTAATGGCAGCAGAAACGGAAACTCAGATATAACATCTGAAATTGTTAAAATCAATTGTTACATTTATTCTATAAGAGGTTTTATTAAATGGAATATTTGTTTATGTTTATTATATTCTGTTAATTATTTATATAATATGATTAGTGAAATTTTGAACCTTTTTTGAGGAAATTTCATCAATGGATAAATCTTGAAAATTGACGCAATAAAAGTGAATGCCTCAATTAAAGTAAATATAATAGTATTACAACTTAGAAATAATAATATTTAAATGACTAGTAAATATACTTAGATTTACTACTATTTGGTTACATACAATATTATTAATTTTACCTTCTCAATGTAGTTAAATCTTAGTAATGTTTTAAATTAAAATTTAAAGCATATATTACTTAATTATTATTTTACTAATTATATTATATTATATTACTAATTTGTTTAAATTAAAATTAAAAGCATATATTACTTACTTCCTTCTTGGCTTGGCTTAAGTTTCGTTTTATAATCATATTCCTGGTATATCTCAGAAGTTACTGTCAACTCCGGCATCTGGGAAATTAAAAACTAATTAACTAAATATCTTAACTATAAATAATTAATGAAATTGATATATTTTCTATATAAAGTATTTTTTCATTAATTTCACAAGTTTTAATTAAAATTGTAATTTTACCGTGACATGTGATTATCATCTATGACTGTGATGAACTATCTAGGATAGTCCAAGTGTACAACATTTGGATGTTAGCCAATTTTAAAATTCTAAAATAAAATCACTGAACATACATCTTGCGAAGGCCAATATCCATTAATTTACTAATTTAAACGTCACTTGTTGAATATATTCGCTAACAATTTATTTTAAGGTAAATATACGCGTTTATTTTCACAATTAGACGCCAAATTAACGTAACATTACTAAAAAGGAACAACTGAATCTTGTTACTAAACAAATTGAACTGAAATGAACTAATGCACATTAATCTAATTAATCCTTTGAAATAAGTATTTAATAAACTTTACCTCAGTTTCTGTTTCCATTTTCAACTTGTACGTTACATTTTACCAAAGTTAAGTACAAGTGCTACTATTTACATAATTTATTATAACTACATTTTCTTTTGAATTACCGATACGCGTGTTTTATACCTGTTTTGTTTTTTTTTTTTACTTTGATGTAATACGCATTGTGGTTGTGACCGTCACAGTTTCCATTTATCTGTCAAATCAGTCATAATTTGACGGAACAGCTGCTATATAGTTCATGTTGTGTGATTTTGGCTTCATATTTTATCCCCAAAAGAACTTCATATTCATGTTATTGTGATATCAACAGATAACTTGTCGAGTTTATCTTAATCTCCTATGATAAATTTATATGATACAAATACAAAACAAAACATAGTATTTCAATAAAGGCGCGAATTTCGCTGTCACTAAAAACTCAAATGTCAAAGAAAAGTGAAAAGTCAAAGGAAAAATTGCCACTAAAAAAATTAACTGCACTAAACTATTTATCAAGTTTATGTTACAATTTATTTGTTTATTTTATGATTATTACTGAAATCGATCGTAAGAATAAATAGACATTGTTTCTTTGTCTTTTTTAACTGTGATTTTTTGCGAAGTTCCGATACAAATTGAAATAGGTTCAACTTTGTATTCACATACATATACTTTTTCCAGCGTATCTTTATTTTTTCATTCAAATACTTTAAAAATCATTCCAATTTTACTCAAACACTAAGCAACAATGCAATTTTCTTTGTGATAAATGTAAAACTAAAATGTATTCGTTAACAATAATGCTGAGCTGAATTAGGTAACTGAATCAGCAAAAACGGATTTCGGCCTTGAAGTGAAAATTATTTTAAAGTCTTTCATTACATTAAAATATTTTAATTATAACGCACTTCAGATTAGCACTTTTATTTTTTTATTTTATTAGGTGAAATAGATTTTTATTTTTCTTTTAAATAACTTATCTCGTTGATGATCTAAAAAACAGTGTCAATGCTGGCCAATCACAGCCCAACACACGATCGACGCTGCCACGTCAAATGCGACGGTGTGAGTGTGAATGAAGTGGCATTTTCGGCGTTTTATTCAGCATCGTCGGCCGAATTAAAACTGTAGTTGTGGTCAGGCATTCGCAAATTTAAGATGCGAGTTACGTTATTTGCAGTAGCGATAGCCCTTTTGGGTGCCGCGTTCGCCGATGAAGTTCCTACAGAAGATAATGTGTTAGTACTCAGCAAAGCCAACTTCGAAAATGTTATTGCTACCACTGACTTCATTTTGGTTGAATTCTGTAAGTTTGTAAATTATTATATTGCTTAACTATTAATCACTGTTACTAAGTTAAAGTCTTGGTTTTGTTCACATTTTTTTAAAACTATTAAATGCCGGTAGGTCGTATAGGTTGTACATATATTTACATTACAGATGCGCCGTGGTGCGGGCATTGCAAGTCGCTGGCGCCGGAATACGCCAAGGCCGCTACAAAGTTGAATGAAGAAGAATCTCCCATCAAACTTGCTAAGGTCGACGCCACACAGGAACAGGATCTTGCCGAAAGTTTCGGCGTAAGAGGATATCCTACGTTGAAATTCTTCAAGAACGGCAACCCTGTCGATTATACAGGTAATGTTATTAAAATGATAATTTAATGCTACGTAAAAATGTTATTGCTTTCTAATCAGTGATGGAATTAATTTTCCTAACAATGTTTTATAAACTTTTCATGCATTTCAAGAGTTATTCATACATTCTTGGGACAAATATAATTAAAACTTTGAATATAGTATTCCATACTTTATGAGTCATACTAATTAGATTGACTGGAATTTTAATATGCTGTAATATCCACTTCTTATGAGTCATAGATTTTCTTATTAAGACATTTTTGACCGATTTCCCAAAAGAAGGAGATACTAAATTCGTCTATGTTTTTACATATTATGTCTATTATAATAGGTGGCAGACAAGCTGATGATATTATTGCTTGGCTGAAGAAGAAGACTGGTCCTCCGGCCGTTGAAGTTACATCCGCTGAACAGGCTAAGGAACTAATTGCTGCCAACAATGTGATCACATTCGGTTTCTTCCCCGACCAGGCCACTGACAAGGCAAAGGCTTTCCTTAATGTTGCTGGGCTTGTGGATGACCAGGTGTTTGCACTTGTCAGTGATGAGAAACTCATTGAAGAGTTGGAGGCAGAATCTGGCGATGTTGTCCTATTCAAGAACGTAAGTTTTAAAAAAATATTTAAATACTTACATTACATGAAATACAATATATTTCATCATTCAGGATAATTACAATTTATCTTTAGTAAAGTATCTTATAGGGAATTTATCAGTCAAAACTTCTAAACAATAAAATTCATTTTTACTGTGCTAGCTAAATTAGTGTAGTAAATTTAAATATCACTAATAACAGATTAAGATACAGGAAAAAATCAAATTACATATTAAAATATGTAAAATAATAATGCAATGTAAATGTGATATTTAAATAATGTGATGAAATCTGTTGTAAGTCTGAATTGATAATAATAGTCCCCATGGTAATGACAGAGATAACTGGTTCCTGAGAGTGCAGCTAAATTTATTTTTACATTAAATTAGTGATAAATATATTCTAGCAGTCGCTGGAACTCAGTCCAAAAAGAATTAAGAAAAACCTTAATTAGTAGCCAATGTAGAACACATTGTCTATTGTGAGTGTTTTCTATGTCTATACCAAATTTCAGCAAAAAACAATCATTCCGCATCATTCGAGAGATATGTAGGCAAACATCCATCCATTTAAACTTTCCCATTTATTATATTAGCAAACTTTGTTGGATGTATGTGACATTATTATCATAATCTACAACCTTTATTCCATTCCAAGTACGGTTGATGCATTATATTTTGTGCATTTTCTAGGTGTCTCACTATTTAACTTTAGTGACAATTTATTTAACTCTCCTGTTAGGTAGTAACAAAAGTTTTAGTTCAAACCAATAATCAGTATTATGTCACAAGGCAAATGAATAAATATAAAAATTGGTACACTTATCTAAGGGTGAAGATAAGACTTGACCTATTTTTACAAACATCAATGCAACAAAGTTAATATAGTTTGTTTTATATCTTTAAGTAAATTATTTGTTTATCAGTTTGAAGAGCCACGTGTCAAGTATGACGCTAAAGAGTTTGACGAGGATCTGCTCAAGACGTGGGTGTTTGTGCAAAGCATGCCCACAATTGTGGAGTTCTCACACGAAACCGCTTCCAAGATCTTCGGTGGACAGATCAAATACCACTTGCTTCTCTTCCTGTCCAAGGTAAGTTTAACTTTATCAATAATAATTATAATCTAAAGGAGGTGACGCACATAAAGAGTATATTTCCCCTTCCTATGCATCACCACCACCGTCAAGTCCCCATTCCCTTAGCATCATTTTCTTATAAGAAAAAGGGTGAGAAGGAAAAGGGACTATAGTTTGGCTATCTATTACAATTTTTTGTGCACTTAAGTACCTACATATATGACACTGTTACTATGTGAATTTTGCAGTGAAAGTTTTACAATGCACTGCATACAGAGGTCATAAGATCTTTGCAACTGTCTTCTCATTGTGAAAGTTGATTTACAACTTTTACCAATAGATTAAATTCAAGAATAAAGATAATAAATATCCAATTTGCATACATTTACTGTTATTTTTAATTGATGTTATGCATATTTGGTTTAAATAAATTTATTTATTATTTTCAAGATAAAAATTTTACAACTTTCTTTTATAAATAGTAAAATAAAAACAGTATATAACTAAGGAAGTAACATATCAGTCTATTCCATATTAAAATGTATCTCACAAGTTCTATTAAGGTGAACGACCTAATAGATACGTTGACCTCTAGTCACGTATTCAATGAACTTACAACGAATATCAAAGCAATTTCAACCTTACTGACTATATATTAGAGTTGATAAAATTTGTGTTTGTAGAAAAATGGTGATTTCGAAAAGTACCTTGATGGCTTGAAACCCGTTGCTAAGAACTATCGCGACAAGATCATGGCCGTCGCTATTGATACTGATGAAGATGACCACCAGAGGTAATTATGATGCACTCAGAGACATTGACTACTTAAAACACCCTTAGTATTTCTAATCACGAAGGATCCAAAATAATCAATTAACGTAACTGTAAAGTGAAACCTAAAGTATTGTTTCGTAACTCGAGTTCGCCCGCGACTCCACGTGGCAAAAAAAAAAACAAAAGTGTAGTAGTAGTAATAGCCTATGTGTTCTAGACTGTTCTCTATATCTATGCCAGTATTATCGAGATCCGTTCCGCCGTTTATACTACAAACTTTAACAAACATCCATCCATTTAAACTTTCGGATTTATAATATTAGTAAAATTATTAAGTGCTTAATGCAGAGTATTGTGTTTTATTTGATTTTTTTCAATACTTATAGAAAGTAAATTTTGCTTGAACCTTCACTGGAAGTGGGAAGTAAAGTGTCAATTAATATCTCAAGTACACTTATATTTATCCATTTGATTTGAAATTATCCTTGATTATAAATAAATGTATTTTATTAAACTTGTATTAATTTTATCTCTTACACTAAATATAGTATGAAGTAGACAACACATAGTTAATTATATTTAGAATATTTCAAATATATGTATATTTTTCTTTAGGATTTTGGAGTTCTTTGGCATGAAGAAGGATGAGGTGCCTTCCGCTCGTCTGATTGCTCTTGAACAAGACATGGCCAAATACAAACCCGCCAGCTCAGAACTTAATGCCAACACTATTGAGGTAAACTCTATTAAAATTATTAGTAAAATTCCATTACTATCCACTAAAAATTCCATTTATATCGTCAAATCTTGATTCGTAAAACTAATCTCAAAGTGAGTAATATTTTGTTAGATTTTATGGTCTATTAATTTACAATTAAACCATTAAAAGAAACATATTAATCTTTAATAATAATTGTTTCGATAAGAGCAAAGCTATGTCAAATCAATTATATCTGGTCTATTTGTAAGAATTAATATTATGATAATATTACAAAGATTTAATAGTTTAACATTCTCAAAAATTCTGATATATTAAATGTATTTTAAAATTGTATTCTTTCTACTAACTAACTTCTATTCAAATATTGTAAAGTGAATAGTTTAATATTTGTGTATTTACTGAATACATTAAAAAAATACTGGACCGTTTGCAAACTTTTTTCGCCATTAGAAAGGTATAAGTAACATATTTATTACCAGAATTTTTAATTACGCGCAGACAAAGTCGCGAACTAAAACTATTATTAATAAGGATTAGTTATGAAGAACAATAAATTCTTTAAATTCCATAAAACTGAAATAAGTACAAAATCAATTAAAAACCACGCATTGTGTTACAATCTATGTGTTAAAAGTTACGCTTTTAATTCTCTACCAACATCCGATTGGACACGTCACTTACCAGTATGTGTACTTTACGTTGACAATTCGACATGCTGATAATCTTATATGAGTAAAACTAGATTGTTAATTTCAAGAGCTCGAAAATAATAATATAGGGTTGTCAAAAGTAGAATCAAACTTACTTTTTTTACAACTGATTATTTCTCAAACTCAATAACTACAAAGATTGTAATCGAAAAACATGATTTTTATTGTAAAATTGGGAAAAGTATAATTCGGATTTATTTCAAAGAATCTAGTATTGATATTACTGTTAAAAATTTGCAATAAAAAACAAAATAATCATGTTTAAAATAGTTAAAGGCCTCCCCATGTGTCAAAACCTAACTTTTCCATTTGTTTGCCAGGAATTCATCCAATCATTCTTCGCTGGCACCCTGAAGCAGCACCTGCTCAGCGAGGAGCTGCCCGAGGACTGGGCAGCCAAGCCCGTCAAGGTGCTGGTGGCCACCAACTTTGATGAAGTCGTCTTTGACACCAAGAAGAAGGTCCTCGTTGAATTCTATGCGCCTTGGTAAGATTTTTTTACACTCAGAGATGTCATGATGTTGATATGAGTTTATTAATAACTAGGTGTTGTTCGCGACTTCATTCGCATAGAATATAAAAGTATTCGATGTAACTCGGCGGCTACGAATTTTGTTAATGGTGAAAGTTTTTTAAAATCAGCCTAGTAGGTTTTGAGTTATTTCAATATAAGAACTCCAAAAATTTCCTCTTTAATGTTAGTACAGACTAAGGAAATACTTTAGTGTAGGTGTGATGTAGAAAACTACACTAAGTGATGGTTAAGTAAGCACTAAATAACCTATAATATTGACCTATATTTTATAGTAATAATAAAGATTTGTATTTTTGTATGTATTGAAATAACTGAAAAACTACCAATGCAATTTCAAAAAATTATTTACCATTTAAAAGCTATGATAACAGTAAGTAAAAAAGTTTTTTTTTTACTCTATGTTTTTAATTTCACGCAGACGAAGTCGCAAACAACTATTTCATATTTGTGTATAAATTGCGTCATAAGTAGTAATATTGAATTATTTATTCAGTTGTGTAGAATCGTTAAGACGTATTCAGTGAGCCGGGGCGGGCTTTGTCTGCCCAATCGCTCAGAAACGCACAAATTATCATTAATTATGTCAGCCCCGCCATTGTTGTCACTTTATGTAATGTTGCTAGAATAATAATGTTTGCTCAAATACTCGCCAGTTCACCTTGAGAATGGTGGAATCTTGTTTTAATATTTGTACAGTTTTTTAAATTTGAATATTGGATTTTAGAGCAAGTTTGTTTAACATTTTATTGTATTTTGTTTAAAATAATTGTGCAATCTGAAATTATGAAATTAGAAAGAAAAAAGCTTATATTTAAATTATTGTTATTTAAGATAGATTCAAGATAGATGTTATACATTATTTAGTTTAGGCTTAATTTAAAAAACATTCAATAGGCCATAGTCAACCACGCTGGCCCACTGCGGGTTGACTTAACATATATCTTCGAATTTCTTCACATATATGTGCATGTTGCATCACCACCTTCATCGAAAATTACACATATAATTACTAATGGATTGGTATATTTAAGTGTTTACGATAGTAATAGAGCATATCGTGTTATCCAGGTGCGGACACTGCAAGCAGCTGGTCCCGATCTACGATAAATTGGGCGAACACTTCTCCGCGGACGAGGACGTCGTCATCGCCAAGATGGACGCCACCGCCAACGAGCTGGAACACACCAAGATCACCTCCTTCCCGACCATTAAGCTGTACACCAAGGACAACCAGGTATAATAACGTTGAAATAAAAAAAACTAACCTAAACAGAAATGTTTACAGGATGTTACAAAATGTGCTTGCTTGTGTGACGTCATAGTTTACAAATATTTAACAAAATCTGACTTCAAAACGATTGTAATTTTTTAATAGTGTTTAAGAAAATTAAAAAAATCACTAGGTGATTTTACATTTTTGTTTGAAAAAAAGAGAGTACTTTTTATTTAAATCTATAATATCTGAAAATAATGTAATCGTCGCACACCTGTAATTTTCGATATCTCGATATAAATCTTTTGTAAAAAGCGAAACACAATGGAAAGGAACGTTATTTAATTTGTTTTATCTATACTAATAATAAAGAGGTTTTTGTAATTTCGTATGTATTGATATAAATCAAAAACTAATGGGTAGATTTAAAAAAATCTCACTCTTATAAAGCTATGTTATCATTAAGATAGGCCATATTTATACTATTTTTAAATTAAAAATGAATGTTTGTGTGCAGGTGCGCGAGTACAACGGCGAGCGCACGTTGGCCGGACTCACCAAGTTCGTGGAGACTGAGGGCGAGGGCGCCGAGCCCACTCCCGCTGTGGTATGCATTTTATATATTACTAACTTTAAAAAAACAGAAGTAAGTAGCCTATGTCTTCCTCCAGACTATCCTCTACATCTATGCCAAATATCATGGAGATTCGTTCAGTAATTTTGGCTACAAACTTTAACAAACATCCATCTAATCTTTTGTATTTATAAGCAATAGAACAATAAATGTTCTTGTAAAATATGTTTGATAGCAACTATAAAGAACTGAAAGTGTATGAATTTTATTTTATATAGACTAACTACTTTTATTAGTAATCTGATATTGGTCGATATACGTGGACACTTGCACAAAAAAAACGTAGGACATAAACTGTAAAGAAAGCTTAATTTTTATAATTATTAATATCTTTTTAATAACTTGACTTCCTGCCATATAGGTTAACATTTCGAATATTTTGAAAATGTAAATAAGACAATTTAAATTCACCGCAATTGATTAATAATATTTTTAAATTTTATTATAATTTCAGAGTGAAGATGATGAAGACAACGAGGCGCCGTCGCGAGACGAGCTTTGAGCAAACACTTCCATAGCGTACTTTGTATAGATTATAATTATAATTTACACTTAATATTACATTTAAAAAAACGCATTTCGTCTGCTAGGCCATTTACTATATGTTTTGTTTGTGTTCTGTAGGTTTTCATTGTCAAAAACATGCACAAAAACATTTTTATGCGTGTTCTGACAGTGCGTTTTATTAGCGCGACGCGTAAAACGAATTTATTATGAGCAAAAATATTTATCTAACAAGTTCTTTTTTAAGTAATATTTTGTAATTTTTAAACTCAAAAGAACTTAATTCCGTTATCTTTGTTGATATTTATTGTAATACTCTACGCTCCCTTTGGATCTGTATGAATAATTTCAAAATAAATAATTTATTCACAGAAATATTGTAAGCTAATATTGTGTATTAATTTCTGTATCATGATACATTATTTAGCTATAGTTTGAACAACGATGTTTGTTTTTTTCTAATTGATTTAATATTTTAAGATGTGAAATGCAACAATTCGAATTTTTTTGTATATTTTTTATTGATTCATTAAATTTGCATAATTTTAGAAAGGTGCTGTTTAAGTTTTAAATACATTTTTCAAGTTTGTTCCATGTTCAGTGTAATTTTAAAATAAATCAGTGTATTTTTACATGAATCCAGTCTAATTGTAAATAAGAATTTGTTGGAAATTAACATAAACAATGTTGCAAGTATCTGTTGGATACAGAAATTGATAAATAAAGTTATGAAAACATATATTTTTTTTATTTTGATTCCTATATACTAGAAATAAAAAACCAGAAACGTTTTAACACCTTAGGCGCCACGTGTATCTTTTTGTCAGTGTTTAGAAAACTGTGAAAGTGGTCTGGGAGGTATGAATTTCAAATTGAACTATTTCCTAAGCCGTGTCTCTAAATGTCACACGGATAAAAATTCAAAGAAAAAGGCGAAAGATGGGGGTAGAAGGACATAATATATATTATGTAGTTTTAAACACATTCAACAAAAAAAAATATTTTTTTTAAAATTTCAACTAAGGTCTGATGGTGTTAAACATGTATCTGGCAGTGGGAACTCTTTTTTTATCTTTTGTTTAACATATCAGTGCACTTTAGAATTGCATAAATAAAACTTCACAATCAGTTAAATGATTTTATTATTTTATTTATCTTAAATACAACGATTAAAACATAAAATAACTCTTTTAAATAATTAACATTAAGCTTGTTCTTTATTAAAATTATCACATCAACACCGAAATACAATTAGCTCGAGACAAAAGTGGAATGGGTAAGTAGAATAAACGTACAATTCCACTGACGTAACAATTACATTTTCACTGTTTTGTCAAAGTAAAAGTTGAATTATTACCAGTGCAATGGAATTCCACGTTTATATGAGCTCACGCAAGTTATTAATTAGTTTAAAAATATACCACAAAGTGAGAAAAACCTTCGGAATTACTTTTCAATCGTGTTATAAGGTGAGTTGCTGACTTTGGTTGACTTATTAGGTAACATAAGTTACATTTACAAGATCTTATATCCTTTACTAATTTGGTAAAAAAAGCTTTTATTTTTAATTACATTGGTATTATAGTGCATATTAACTATAGATTATAACAGAAAAAATACCAAATATAACATAAGGATACAAAATCTTGTAATAAATTTGCCAATTTTTTTATAAAGTAATAAAGGCAATATAATATATAAAATAACATTATCACAATCTACATTTGAATACTAGAAAATAGTAATTTAAAATTACATTATGTGTTAAATGCTCCCCCGATTGCGCTCAAGTCTACACGATGCGTAACACTTTAACTTAACCTAAGTTGAAAATCTGAAACAACTTCGAAAAGTATTTGTTTCGTGCGTTCCCACTGACGAAACATGTCTCAGGATTCTTAGAGACAAAACGTAACTTTTGTATGATTTATTTCAGAAGGATTGGAAAGCTTATTTATACAAAAAAAAATACATATGTTTGTTTTAACGCACCAAATTCGTAAATATATGTACATCGTATAATATTAAATACTGCAGCTGTCTCTAAAATTCATTTTATGAGATAAAAATTGAACAAAACAATTCATTAGCATTTTTTATTGTTTTTTTTTTCTTCATAATTTGTGGTTTTCATATTTTTTTATTGTAAAATGATGCAGTTAAATTATATAAAATTTGTCTAAATGATTTTACCAACATATGAGAAAATTAGTACTTAAAGTACTTCGAAGTATTTTTTAATATTGGTTTTGATACTTTTGAATGACAATTTTATTTACATAAAGAATATTAGTATATATTTACTTTGAATTTAAGTTATGCATTTTTTATGTGAGAAATGTGTATATTAAAAATTAAAATAATACTATGTGTAACATGTGGAAAAAGTCACAAACTTGATACTTCAAATTTTTTAAATAAAACTTTTTTATTTGCAAGTTCGTGAACTTAAAAACATTTAAGTTGATTTCATTTGCAATTTAAAATCACTCATCGATAGTCTATCGAAAAATTAAGAAAAAAATCTTTATAAAAACAACAACAATCAATAATTCCATAAAAACCGAAATATCAGTCACAAAAACTATTCACTTAAATCATAAATATGGTCCAGATTAGCTTAAAATAAATTACAGCGTCACCACGAATATAAAAACCTTCCCCTTAAATCGGAAAATAAAACCAATTCTTTTCCGCACTACAAAGTTAATAAAAAAGCGAATAAATCGCTTTTAGGTTAGGATTTTTCTATTCTTGGTTTACGGTAAAACTAAAGAGGCGCGATGACGTCACTTAACCTAAAAACCGCATAAACTTACACAATACAATAAATACAATAGAATGCAAAAACATTAGCTTTGTATGCAGTCTTTGAGTCCTCGGAATCGTTCAGAGTGAGAAAGAGAAAGAAAATAGGGACATACATAAGAGAGAAAGAGATAGTTATATTACTGATTGACTCAGCTCTTTTATGTTTGTTCATTATGTTCGCAGGACTCAAAGATATGTGAACATTTAATTTGAATTTTTAATATAGGCCCACCATTTTTGTTCAAAATTTTTTGTCATAATTGTGAATTTAAAATATACATAAATATGAAATAAGATTTTTTTTTATGTTATAGAGCGATGCCACACGGCGTTACCTTAACTGCGTTCATCGTTAGTGTGGCATCTGTTTAAAATTCCAAGATAGTTTAATTTCTTGAAGCTAAAGCAGGTTTAAGCGACAATTTCCATACAAAGTGATTGGGCCATTTTGTTAATCAGATCAGAGCGCGAACATGGAGTCCTCTTGTTCCTTGTTGATCTGCCTGTGTCTGGGGGTGTGGGGGTTGTTGGGGGCGTTCTGGGTGTGCTGGGGGTGCTGGGGGTCGATGGTGGGCAGGCTGTCTGCGGCGGCGGCGCGCTCCGCCAGGAACTTGTCGAAGTCGCTGCTGGTCACACTCTCCTGACCCCCGTTTGCTTCTGAAGCCGCCTGGAATCATACTTATATTATAAATGCGGAAGTTTAGATGGATGGATGTTTGTAAGTTTGTAGCCTAAACTGCTGGACGGATCTGGAAGAAACTTGACATAGATGTAGAGGATAGTCTGGAAGAACACATAGGCTACATGCTTTTGTATTTTATTCCTCTCGGACGTAGTCGCGGGCGAAAGCTAGTAATTTATAAGTAAAGATTTCCTAAAAACAATCTGTGCTGCAAAGCAAGTCGGGCAAAAAACATGAATATCAAGTAAGCCGTTGCAGTGTTATTTCAACTAGATGGCGTTGTAATTAATTTCAAAATGGATGATGAATATTTCGATATATCATACATAATTTTATATATTAAAATGCAATTATTATAAATTACAATACAATGATAAAATGATAAGCTGAGCTTATAAAAATAAATGGGGTGCAAATAAAATGGGGGAAAAAAATAAAACAGACCTTCTCCTGCGCGAGCCACGCGGATATCTCATCTATCTCCCTCTGATCCATCCCTGAGGGCTGTTACATAATAATTGATATAAGGGGACAACATAAAATAAAAAATATATAGAAAATTATAAAAAAAAACAAAACAAGAAAATAATAAATAATAATAAAACTATCTAACTTAAAAATGCGACAAAAAAGTCAAAAATCTATACATAGTACCCGCGCAGAACATATTTGAAATTACTTAATACATTTGTAATTATTTTAATAGCTATAGTTCCACGTATCGACAGATCAAAGAAAAATTAACGACACCGCTTTATTTGGCATTATTTTAATTTAAGAAACTTTAGGTGTATAGTAAATAGATAATAAAATAGTGGTCTGAGTGAGGGTCGACAGGTCGACTGCCTAGATGCGAAGTAATAAAAAAGTATACACTAATTTCGAAATTAGTTTTACAATCTTTAAAGCCCCTTATAAGTCAATAAATATATTTTTTTTACCATTTGTGTTCCGGTTCCGGCTGTGACACTAGTAACTGGCGTATAAACTGCTCTCCAGTTTTTTAATTAAATCCAGAAGAAACTCGGTCACTATCCCGAAAAATCACAGTGCATCACATAGCTAGTGCGTCACAGTGCTTAAAAACTTTTATTGGTTGTGCAAAACAAGTGCCAAATAATTAGTATTTCTACAAACACTTTTTAAAAGATTACAAACAAAAAACGGTTAACCAGTGAAAGTGTCATCATTAATTTGAATCGCTACCCGAATTGGGACTACCAACTTCAACAAAAATTGCTTCCAGTATAACAAAGTGGCACTGACAAGTAAGGTAAATAGACAGCTATTCGAAACAGTGCTGCCAACACCCTTTAACAACTAAAATTAGTGACAGTGACAAGTTGTGTCAATATCTTGCTACTCAAATCAGGGCTACCATCCTAACGCAAAAAACGTTCCGTTTCACGAAATTTCATAACAATGGAAGACTTTGAAAAATTTTTCGATAAAATAAAAATAGAAATGTCAAATCAAACAAAAGTAATAATCACACAGATGGATGAAAAAATTGCCCCCTTAATACGAGAACTCCATGAACTTAAGGCCGAAAATACAGATCTAAAAGAAAAAATATCAAGTTTAGAAAAACAAAAGAGAAAAAACAACATTATTTTATACGGAATGAAGGAAGAGGAGAATCCATCGAAAGACCTTATAAAAGTAACCATAGACAAAATAAAAATTGATCTTGATATTAAAATCGATAAAAGAGATATCGATAACATCTACCGTTTAGGAAAAAAAGACGAGAGCAAAGAAAAA